TGGGAAGCCTGACACTTAAATCAGTGGGACTACTTGCGAGACATGTAGCTAGAACAGTGGAATTTTAAAATGTTTGTATTATTGAGAAGCATGGTATTCTGCACCTAATATTTTAAGAATATGGCTACCGTTTCCTGCTTTTTCATAGCTACTACAAACTGGAATGTTATTACGTGTACAAACAACCTCTGATTTTGTTTATGGGTCATTCAGGCTAATATGGTACAACTCTTCTGTGTGTAAGAAAACTATGAGAGGCAAAAAGGTAAAAATTTAAAAACTTACCATCTTCAAAGGGAGTACCTTCTGGCCTAGAAAGAGAGATAAGATCTTTATGGAATGAAGATCTTTGTAGAATCATAAGTCTTTGTCTAATGACATTAATGTACAACTTCCACTTAAACTGTTTGTTACAATTTAACTTTCCATAAACTTTTAGGGGTGGCCAGACTTGCTCAATGGAAGAACCACATATGGTAAAAGTCTTGATGTTTGAAAGCTACAAGCAGGTGCCCAAGGGCAGCAAGCAGTGAGCAGGTGCCTGTGGGCACTGACTGTGGGTGGCAGAAAAACAAACTCAAAGAGCTGCATGTAGCTTCTGAGCCTTAGCTTAGTTACTCCTGATATATATGTTACTTAAGACAAATTTGATTCATAGACTAGATATTTCAGTGCATCTGTTTGACAGTCTCATATGTAGAGTTTAGTTTATATAGACGTGATCACAGGATTTTCAGCCAAAGTGTACAGCACTGTGATGGTGCTGAGTCAAAGCATTCATCACCGCTTGCTCCACTTTTAATAGAAAGTTTCAATACTTGCTCATTAACATTTAAAAATCATAAAAATGATAAATAGAAAAGGCAGGGGGAGCCTGAAGGCTTTAGGAAGTGAGGTCTGGCTCTATCTTAACAATCCATTACCAAGATGTATTTTGCTTCACACAGAGTAACTTACCAGAGACATTATTTCTTACAATTGAAGGAATTCTTGACTTACCCAAAAATAACTGCATTCCATTGCATTATATTGTTCTCAGATGGTGCACCACTGACCCCCACAGGCGGATCTTCTTGTAATCTTTGAATAAAAAACAGAAACACATTAAAAATCCACAGTAAATACTCAAATGTTAACTATAAGCCTGACAAAAGTCAGAATCACATCACTTATAAAATGTTGCACTAACTGAGTCTTGCAGTGATATGGACTACTATGGCTAAGAATGTCAAATATATAAGTATTCCCTCTCTGATTTAGCACACTGCTTGTCAGCTGATATTACAGTAAATATGAAATATAATAAAGCCACCCACCTTGAGATAACCAGATGGTAAAATAATTGATTTGTGATTACGTATTGACATATACCTACTGAACAGAGTATTGCTTCTATCATCTTGAAGCATGCACAGGAACCCTTCTAGAAATAGGTACAGATTGGGGAAATTTAACTCCCTGATTCTGTTTGTATTGCAATACAGTTGGACTGTTCTGTTCTATTTTAGTTGGTGGAACAGTCTGACTTCAGAATGTGCTGTCCCATTCCATTTCAACCCACTTCCATATGCTACACCATTCCAAAAAAGCTCCCAAGTATTTTGCCAGTCAGGAAGCGTTTTTATGTCATCCAATCCTTCAAGCTGGATCATTAGCAAGACACCTCCTACAGAAGAGCTGAACAGACAGCGTGCAGTCCTTCCACGTGGCAAATCCAACCTCTAGAATCTTACTTCATGCAGCCCAGGAGCCTGCCTTCTTTGTTACACAGTTAGGTCACTATTATACATGACCTTGTGATGTTAGGGCTATTCTGCTGATCACATTTTAAGAGCTGGTAACATTTCATCGCAGCAAAAGAGAGATTACGATCCTACAGGTTCTCTCTCAGTTGCCCTAACATTAAATGGGTGCATTCCCATTGATTAAGAATACTTGCAACAGAGGGGCATTAGGCATAGCAGGAAATCAACAACATGGTGTTGTCAGTCTGCAGAGTTCCTTGCCCTTATAACTACCCTGAATTACATGGCTATGTTCTTCAAGCATGTTCAGTTCAATCAACTGAATGTCAACAGCACAAGCTACCTAACGCCTTGGCCGGAGAGCAAAAGAACGTGACTTCTCGCTATATGATAGCCACTGTGCATGCCAGTGCACCGGCTGAAGCACTAAACCTTATGTGCAGTTCAAAGATAGCTTCAGTTCTTAAAGCTTATGAGCACCGTGCTGTGAAAAGCCTTTAGCTATGAAGATTTTGGAGATCTGGGATTTCACATGCAAAGCAGGTTAACTGAAGATCATGGGAATTTTGATGCCACTTGCTATTATGTCAGCCTGAATTAAATAAACTCAGCCAAAATGTATTTTCACACATTAACTCAGGATGCTTTGAGGAAATAATGAAACTTGAAAGATATATAGTATATTTCTAATGTTCAAAATATTTCACATACAATGGGGTGACGTCAAATTAGAGGCTTGCAACTAATGGAAGCAAACTTCCCTGCTCCTCTTCCCTATAGCAGCCCCTTTAGCCCCTAAAAATGCTACAAAGAGGGCTGGAGAGCCTATGGAATGGGTTATGATGAGGGGGTGATGGTGGTAGGCGGACCCTCCAAAATCAGCTGGACACATCTTGAGTGGAGCCTGTCTGTCCATGCAAAGCAGATCCATTTTTCAAGGAATACTTGCAACAGATCAGCTTTGAATTGAGGGTTTCCTGGCCATTATACTCAAACAGCTATCTAGAATATATTTGACATTACTACATTTGCTATAGTGGGATAAGAAAGCTCCTGCATAGATTCCTCATCTTGCATAGATTCAAGAGCTATTAGATCTCATCCTAAACTATCTGCCAGTTCATAAAGTCAGTTTTGCTTCTCCTCCTCTGTTAATTCTAACTTAAAGCCAAGTTTGCCATCTTAGAAGAATACCTCCCATGTCAGTTAACACAACATAGAAACTATTAAAATATGCTTGTGATGATGTAAATGTTATTAAAAGCTTTGAGGTTATAAACTGTGATTTTATTGACACTGTAAAGGTTTCTCTTTGTAATCCACTGGCAGTGCCCGGAAAGGTATTTGGGATAGGATGTCTTTCTTGGCAGCTTGCTTAAGAAAAGAAAATGGCCATTATTTTGTCATCTTCACCATAATCACACAGGAAGCCTCCAGATGTCAGTAAAAGCTAAGAGGAAAGCATGATAGAAAGTCACCCTAAACAAACACGGAAACACCAGAAGTTGAAATGGATACAATCCAATGACTTCCTTGTAAGCATAGTTATTTTCTATATAATGTGACTAAAATTATGTATATTACATTCACCAAAGTATAGTAGCTTTTTCCTGAATTTTTAAGCATTTGACTATACAGCAAAAATAAAAACTCATGCTTCCCCCCACAATTTCCCCCTACTGTTCACCAGTTATGGAATTTACCAGCCAGTCTTTCAAAGAGCTTAAATTCCTGCAGTAGAATTTGTATATTGATTCTCTTTGCATAAACATAGGGGAGTGATAACAGAGTGAATTGCAAATACACTGAAACTCTGCTCTGAACCAGATACTTGAGGATTAAAAGGTTCAGCATTGCCAAGGGAAGAGCAGGATACTGGACTGGAAGAGGCTTTAGTTATAGTTCCACTGGGTAACCTAAGGCTGCAACAATGGCTTCTTTATTTTGAAGCACTAAATTGGAAAGATGCTTTGAGTGGAGGCAGAGCATAGTCAGTGACTCTGTATAAAATTAAAATATCAAAGCCTGTATTTTACAAAGTTCAGTGACCCCCCAGTTCCTTTCTTTTAAAACTCCATTCCAATACATATATAGCAATCATTTCCATAAAGCGTATTGTGAGTGTTTATGTAACACCACCAATCCTCTGCTCTGGCCTTCTGAGTAAGGAAAAATATGCCTTTAATCTTTCCAGAGAGTAAAGGCCACTTATGTGCTCATTACTTGATACTGGGGTGGAAGGATAGGAGGGAGAAATTAAGAAAGGCTTCCTTACATCAGAGATCTGTCCACTATTTACAGAATGGCCAGACATGCTAAAAGCAAACTGACACCCTTGGCCCTTCGGCAAGCCGTACTTCTGACGTGGTCAACCCAGTCCATTTCAATTCAACTCACTTTATCAACAAGACACGTATTATAGAAGGGATTGTCAAAGTCTAGAGGTAGAACGCTGTAGAATCTGGGTCAAAAAGTCACCGACCTCTCCCCCTCTCTTTGGAAAGGGGTGTGGGGGGGATTAAAAGAACAAACGACAACCCTTTTGTCTTTAACACAACCCCCTTTCTCCTTTTGGAGGCATCTTGGCCTCCTCTTTCCCACCAGAGGAAGAGACTGGGAATAGGGCAGGGGGGCTGAAATCTAGGTGTGGGGCAGCAGAACAGATCCTGGCAAGGAGGGAGCTGGGAGCGCCTGAACTCTTTGTCCTCCCAGCAGTTTAGGAGCAGAATAAATTCGGTTCGCCTCGTCCCCTCCTCCGTACACGGAGAAAGCCACCCTCCCCGCGCTTGCAAGGGCGAGGAACGGAGTTCGGCTCCCCAAGGGAGGGCACCCCTCCTGAGGAAACACAGAGGGAACCCCAGCCCAGACCCGAAAGCCAGGCGGGCGTCAGCCTCCTGGAGGAAGGCGATAGGGAAGTATTTACCTCTTGAAATCCCTCATGAGTCTCCGCCTGGCTGGAGTGGACATGATTCTCCCGCTCCCCCGATGGCAAAAAAAAATCCCTGCCCCCCCAAAAGCCTCAGCAACGCAGCCGTTTCCTTGCTCAGCGGCCTCCACCTCCTCTTCTTCCTCCTTCCCCTCCTCCTCTTCCTCCCTCTTCCTCCTCCTTCGGCTCCGCTGCTTCACAAACAACTCCGCAATGGCGTCTCCCTCCGCCGGTGGGGAGGGAAGCAGCCACCCTTCGCGACTGTACCACTCTGTGCCTGCTTGGGAGGGGACGGAGAACGCCTTTGGAATGTACCACTACGCCGGGGTGGTGAAAAGAGGGTCTTCGCTCTTTGAGAACGAAGTAGCTGGGCTGCGGCTGTTTCTCCTTCCAGCGGAGATGTTTTGCTGATTTCGCCTATAGATTCTTGGGAGGAAGGAGGAGAGAGCGGTCGAGGTGATGATTGTTGTCCCTGAGTTTCACAAGGTCATAAACAAAATAGATGCTCCTTATTCAGAAACCAGTTGTTTCGCGTTTGTGTATGCATTATTCCATTAAACTGCCCAAGTTCTCTGGGCCTTTTACGCTACATTAAAGCGTATTATAGCATAAAATACTATAAAACAAAAAACCCAAAACACAATAGGATTGTTTTCATGCTGTGCGGTGGGCGCAAGGTGGGTCATGATATAGTGGGAGATCTCTGACTTGTAGTGGTCTTGCAAAGCTTTCTGACTTACCCATACTTCCTCTCATCCATAATTAAATTTGCAAAAAATAAAACCTGCTTAAGGGAAAACTAGGCGTGGGTTTTTGATGAAAAGGAACGGTGGATTCGGTTCTCGTACTGGTCACCGATTCCTGTGTTGAGCATGCGGTCAGAACACCTCACCGCTATTTTATTGTTGTTCAGTCGCAAAGTCATGGCCAATCCATCGCAACCCCATGGACAACATTCCTCCAGGCCTTCCTGTTCTCCACCATCCCCCGGAGTCCACTTAAGCTCACACCAACTGCTTCAATGACTCCATCGTGCCACCTCATCCTCTGCCGTCCCCTTCTTCTTTTGCCATCTGTTGTTCCCTGCATTAGGCTCTTCTCCAGGGAGTCCTTCCTTCTCATTAGGTGGCCAAAGTATTTGAGTTTCATCTTCACTATCTGGCCTTCTAAAGCGCAGTCAGGGTTGATCTCCTCTAGGACTGACCAGTTTGATCGCCTTGCGGTCCAAGGGACTCGCAGGAGTCTCCTCCAACACCACAATTCAAAGGCCTCAATCCTTTGGTGCTCAGCCTTTTTTTATGGTCCAACTTTCATAGCTGTACATTGCAAGTTATTTCATACTTGGCTTCAATTGGCAGACTGCAGGGTGCAAGAAAAAAACAGAATACATCCCTCAAGCCTCAGGTCTGCCCACTCCTGATATAGGACACAGCACTGATTTCAGATACAACTTACAACTTCATACCTGAAACATGTACCAGTGGCTATTTATTTTAAATCCTAAAACAACTACAGCATGGCTGACTGGGGAATGCTGGGAGATACAGGACTTTTTGATGTGTGAACATGTAGGATTGTATCGTTCCTCTGCTAGTTACCATGTTTTAAACTGTGCCTGTGCTCCATATCACTATAGGCTATTTCTCTTCAAATTAGGCTGATGAAGAGCTCTAGAGCAGTGGTCTTCAACCTTTTTACATCTGGGGATCAACAAAAATAGGAAAAAAAATTGGGGACCACGGAGTTAAAAATAAAAGCCATTATATACATAATATAGTATCTTGTGTATTCGTTTTTACATAAAGACCAAAAATGATAATTCTCTAAAATAACCAGAAACTGAGCAGTACAAATGCTAATAAAAGAATAAATATTGAAATTAAATGTAATCAAATACAAGTGAAATTTTTAGAGAGCAATATTTAATTCAAATAAGGCTAATGTGAAATCTTGTGCTTCTTTTCAAGAATACTTGATAGTTGTCGCAGTGTTGTTTCCGAGAGAAGAAGTGCAGCACTGACATCCATTCTGTTTCTCTGCTTGTTATCAGTGACAAGGCTGAAAAACTCTTTGCACACAAATATGTGGTAGAAAATATGAGTAACGATTTAATAGCTCTATAACTTAGAGATGGATATTCTTTTTCCAGTGATATCCAAAATTGTGACAGTGATTGCATTTTATGTTTGAACACCAGAGTGACATCAGAGCTCTTTCCCTCCTCCTGCTAGGATCAGCTGGGTTCCCCTGGTGACAGCAGCCAGAGTTGCTGCCCTTATATGCAGCTCTGAGAATGCTGTTGCCACTCCCACTTCCTCAACCGGGCAGCCTGGGACCACTTGCCCTTGGGGTGACGGTGGTGGTATTCTCGGAACTGCGTATCAGGACAGCAACTCACATTCAGCTTGCTCTTCCTGCTTGCTCAGGGCTGCTGCCATCACCAGAGGAACTGAGCAGATTGTAGCAGGAGGAGGGAAAGAGCTGGCACAGATCAGTTCCCCTGGAGACCGCAGCAGCCCTGAGCGAGCGGGAACAGCGGGCTGAGCATGAGTTGCTGCTCTCATATGTCACCCCTCTGCAGCTCCTCCTCAGGGCTTTTTCACGTGGACTGGCAAGACATCTGCGGACCGGCGGTTGAAAACCACTGCTCTAGAGAACCTGGAAGCTTGCATAATTTTTATGACAGTTTGATTGCTTCTAATCAAGGTGTTGCCCAACTGTGGGTTTGGGATTTTTTTCCTCCTGGATTTTGATATTTTAAGGCACAATCTTATTCATATTTAGACAGAAATGGTCCTACATGTCTCTGTTTTTCCCAGCCACTAGGATTTTTCTTCTGTTTCAATATGCATAGGATTGCACCTTATTGTTTCATGATATACTCAGTCCTGGTTTAAGAACAAATATTCATAATATTTGAAAAAGCCAACTGATTTTAAGGCCTGCTGAGCTCAGTGAGGGTTTGTTGTTGTTAATCGCGAAGTCGTGTCTGACCCATCGCGACCCCATGGACAACATTCCTCCAGGCCTTCCTGTCCTCCACCATCCCCTAGAGTCCACCTAAGCTCACACCGACTGCTTCAGTGACTCCATCTAGCCACCTCATCCTCTGCCGTCCCCTTCTTTTGCCATCTATTGTTCCCAACGTTAGACTCTTCTCCAGGGAGTCCTTCCTTCTCATTAGGTGGCCCAGGCATTTGAGTTTCATCTTCAGTATCTGGCCTTCTAAAGAGCAGTCAGGGTTGATCACTTCTAAAACTGACCGGTTTGATCGCCTTGCAGTTCAAGGGACTTGCAGAAGTCTTCTCCAGCACCACAATTCAAAGACCTCAATTCTGGATAAATGTGCATGGGTTTGTGCACATGCTAGTACACAACTTTGTCTAGATAATATACACACATGCTTAGTTGTGCATTTTCAAGTGAGCAGTAGAACTTACTCTCTGAAAATGCACAGGGTAGCCTTACCATATGAAAGAGCAAGGTAGCCACCTCAGGCCTATTCACTTTTGACACAAGATATAGTAAGATTTTGGGTGACATGAAAGGGGAGCAAATTGCTAGTTATTATTTCATTTATGGTTGTTGTTGTATTTTTGCTGTGAGGCCTGGGAAAGTTGATTTGAGGATTTTCAGCCTCAGTTGCTGAATAACTCAGCCAGCCTGGTATTCTATGCCCACCAATGGGTTCTATAAAATTAGGGGAAGTGCCATTCACTATTCTGTTTCAGGCAACAAAATGTCTTCAGCCTGCCCTCTGAAGGCTTAATCAACATCCTAAGAAACTCAGTCATGATGCAATCCTATGCATATTTGGTTGACAGTAAACTTCATTTAACACAGGGAAACTTACTTCTGAGCAAAGACGCATAAGACCAGGCTGCAAAGCTGCAATTCTTTACCTACCCACAGCAGGTTAAACACCATGGAACTTGAGTAAATATGCAAGCACTGTTGTGCAATTGCTATAAAAATTATCAATAATTTTATTTTTCTTTACTGGGGTATTATCTATTAACAGGTTCCGTGTTATAGTCCATTGTTGTTGTCATTTGCATGCAATTGATTTTATTCACAATTGAGATTAAAATAAAATCACAAGCAGATAGTTTAGCCATACTTGAACAGCCACAATTCTTTTTGTAGAAATCAGAAACTTCAAAACGCTCCCTGGACTTGACTGAGCGCACTGAGATGTAAAAGATGTCATCATTCCATGCCAACAATCACATAACTACTTGAAAGCTAAACTAACTGAGCAGGAAACATATTGGGAAAAGGTACCATTCTGGTTTTATACGTTGTCTGGCATGAGTTGTGCCACCTATAAAAGGTTCTTCCTAGTCTGTACATAAAAATAACACTTCTGAACCTTGATTTTAAAAGTCATGACATTTCTGCATTAGGCATCTTAAAAAATAAACCATGCCACAGACTTTTAAGAAGCAGAAACTGTAGAACTTCTGACATCTGTTTGCCCAAGCAAAAGTCTATCACCAGCCAATGAGAAGTTTGTCTGAAAACCACCAACATTTAATAATGTGTCAATCATAGAATGTATAAGATACATGCTTTCATATTTTGCATATTAGAGTCTGAGGCAGATATCTGTAATCTGGTTAAAGTGGGACACCATATAAAGGGAACATATCTAAATCTTCTTTAATAACTTAATAGATTGGGGGTTGGCTATACATTATACATGATCATTTTGGAAGTTTTTCTGTTCAACCTTGATGGGGACTGTCCATAGTTTAGGGGGTGTAGCTCAGTGGCACAGCCTGCTTTGCCTGGTCCCCAGCCTCTAGGTAGGTCTGAGGAGGTTCTGGCCTGAAATCCTGGAGAACTGTTGCCTGTTAGTATTGACAAGACTATTTGAATCAATAAAAGGCTTCCTAAGGAGTGAAGGAAAAAACTGGGGCATGCTATAGGGATTTGTTCAAGCATGCATATGATTTTGTTTCATGCTCTACAACTGCTGCGCCAATTGTCAAACATTAGAAAAATAAGAAAGCTGCATTCCAGTCTTAGTTAAAGAACGTATTTTGAGCGTGACTGGTTAAAACTCATTTAAATCATAGTGACCACTGAAAGTAAACTGAGCCATCTTCTGCTGCCCTAATCAGCTGAGGCTGCCTGGGTGGTCATCTGGAGTTGCCCTGGGCATGGCCGAGTGGGGACGAGAACCCAGGTTGCCTGAGTCCCAGTCCTACCACGTCACACCAAGCAATCTGCAAGTTTCTCCTGATACTGGGGGTGCAGATGCAGTCTTTAGGCGAGCCCAAGGTCCTCTTTGTTGGATCCGCTGCCTTGCAGGGACATCCGCTTGCTTTCACTTCTGCCCACCAAAGCACCCTCTTCCTAGTTTGAGTCTTTATAGCATTTCAGTTTTAGGATAGCGTCCCACGCCAACGGATCTGCTTGCTGCTCGGGTGGGGGAGCCGGTTAACAACAGTGTAATCCGATTGGACAAAGTGAGAACAAAGCGATGGAGGTTCTTGTTTCTCTCTCTCGCTCTCGCCTTGTGAAATCGTCGCTTTGCAGTTTCGGAGGGGAAGCGATGCCATCCTTTCGCCGCAATTTCAGCCGGAAGCCCACGTCACCCAACCTCTACCTTCTTGCCCGGAATCTATCGAGCGCGATGAAGTCAGAGAAGCCCCTCCCCCTTGCGTAGGCGGGCCGGCTGTTGATATAGCCGGCGGTTGCTATGGTAACGGGGCCGGTTCGCTCGGCTGGGCCTGGGAAGAGTCAACATGGGGAGCTCCCGGGAGCAGGTCAGAGGCGCCCGAGGGAAGGGTTGCGCGCGCGCATGGGCGGCGGCCGGGCGGCGTGTCCCCGAGGGCTGGGGCTTTTGACGCGCCTTCCGACGGCGAGGCGGAGCTGCAACGTGTGCGCGGGCTGGGTGCGCGCGCTCGACCGATGGCCACGGAAGCGGAGCGCGGAGGCGGCACAGATCCCGTCAAAGCGTCACTCTGCTCTCGCTGCAGGTGGCCTTCTGCTGGGAGTAACTCTCACTGAACTCATCTGGACTTATTTCTGAACACATAGGTGTAGGATATTGTGCATCCAAATCCAAAAAAGTGGATCAGCGTGACATGACTGAGGTTGGGCGGAACGTTTCTGTTTCATTGGTCAACACGTGGGAAGGAAAAGTTTGTTGAGAGGCTGTTAAAGGTTTCCTGTCAAAAGCATATAGGGAGAAGCTAATTTGCCTGGATGCCGAGTGTCAGGAGAGAGAGCTGCACAGTTGTGTTATGTGGCCATTGGAAGAGAAATGCATGGGGTTAAGCATGTTCGGGTGACATCCACTCATCCAACTCTTGCATGCATCTGCATTTCTCATATACTTGGAGTTCAGCATTTTTGAAATAAAATGTGACAATATTTCATAAGCAGTAAGAAGCCTCCAAGAAATCTAAACAACGAAGAAGGGATACCTTTTTCTACAGTGTATGAAGCCAACCAAGGTGCCACTTCATTTACACTGAATGGGTACCTCAGCAGAAACAAGAGAAAAGAAAAGCTGAGAGTTGAATATGAATTGTAATTGGTTGTTTTGGGTGCAAGCCCATCCCTAGTTATTTAATATGGGATGCAGCCCCTCCAAGCCTTTAGTCAGAGTACTATGCATTCACCATTAAATAGAGGATTCACACCAGCAGTGATGGGTTTTATCAAAAATAATAATCTCAGAAAGGCTTATATTCACAGCTCCTGTTTCTTTCACCCCCTTGGAAGGAATGCTTGTCATATGTGTTACTGTCTTTAACAGTTATATTATTAAATGTAAAATGGAGATGTTACAAAGCTTCTTTCTTTAAAGGGTAACTTGTCAGCTTAATTTATTTGTGAAAACAAAAAAAACTATGTGAGTAGTTTAAAATAATATATTTCTTCTTCCCTGAAGAGATTTCGGACTTGAGCATGGAGATGTATGAAATCCTTGGAAAAGTGGGAGAGGGAAGTTATGGTGCAGTAATGAAATGTAAACACAAGGAAACAGGACATACAGTTGCCATTAAGATATTTTATGAGAAGCCAGAAAAATCTGTCAACAAAATTGCAATGAGAGAGATAAAGTTCCTAAAGGTTTGCTTTTTTGTCACTTTGAAAATGAACAACATGACATTTCCGACAAAACATATATGCATTGTTACTGAACATATACATCAATGAGAAAAGTGGTGATACTTGTGCCAGATTTGTATGTTGCAATGGTTTTAAAAACATGATGCATAATTTAGGAAATGACTGACACCTCATTCTAAGTATACATATTTAACTATGCTCCAGTGAACTTAATGGGATTTGCTGCCAAGTATTTCAATATGGTTCACTTTCAAAACCTCTTATGTAATTCTGAGGGTGGAAAACTAGTTTTTTTCAGAAAAAAAGTTTTTTTTGGACATTCAGATTTAGATCTTTAGACTTAATGTCTAATGTAGAAAATACAGCCTTGTGTTTAACTTTCACAGATACAGGCAAAAATCAGTACTATTTGTTTTCTTAGTATTAATAGTCATACCCATAGTGAAATTATATTTGTTTTTCTACCAGTTTAAAGTTTATAGTTATTTTAAAGGAATTCAGGGTACACTTTTAGAATTTTTTGTAGATGTTAAGCAAACAATGTGTTAAATAATGAATAATACTTATTTGTAGAATCATTTTATATTAGTCCCCCAGTTGCAAGCATTTGCTTCTGTGAATTCAGAGTACCATTAATGGGGATGCATTGGCCCCAGTTTAGAAAAATACATGGTTACAGTATGCAGTGCAATTCTATACATATTTACTAAGAAAAGTGGGGGCTTATTCCATGATATGAGAAAGGAGTTCGGCAAGGCTGTATACTGTCTCCCTGCCTATTTAACTTATATGCAGAGCGCATCATGAGAAAGGCGGGAGTAGATGAATCACCAGTTGGAATTAAGATTGCTGGGAGAAATATCAACAACCTCAGATATGCAAATGATACCACTCTAATGGCAGAAAGTGAAGAGGAATTAAAGAGCCTCTTGATGCAGGTGAAGGAGGAGAGGGCAAAAGTTGGCTTGAAACTCAACATTAAGAAAACTAAGATCATGGCATCCGGTCCTCTCACTTCCTGGCAAATAGATGGGGAAGAAATGGAGGTAGTGACAGATTTTATTTTCCTGGGCTCCAAGATCACTGCAGACAGGGACTGCAGTCAAGAAATTAAAAGATACTTGCTCCTTGGGAGGAAAGCTATGGCAAATCTAGATAGCATACTAAAAAGCAGAGACATCACCCTGCCAACAAAAGTGCGTATAGTCAAGGCTATGGTTTTCCCAGTTGCAATGTATGGCTGTGAAAGCTGGACCATAAGGAAGGCTGAGCGCAGAAGGATTGAGCCCTTTGAATTGTGGTGCTGGAGGAGGCTCCTGCGAGTCCCTTGGACCGCACGCGATCAAACCGTTCAGTCCTAGAGGAGATCAAGCCTGACTGCTCTTTAGAAGGCCAGATACTGAAGATGAAACTCAAATGCCTGGGCCACCTAATGAGAAGGAAGGACTCCCTGGAGAAGAGCCTAATGCTGGGAAAAACTGACAGCAAAAGAAGGAGGGGACGGCAGAGGATAGGGTGGCTAGATGGAGTCACTGAAGCAGTTGGTGTGAGCTTAAGTGGACTCCGGGGGATGGTGGAGGACAGGAAGGCCTGGAGGAGTGCTGTCCATGGGGTCATGATGGGTTGGACACAACTTTACGACTAACAACAACAACAACATTCCATGATAAGTGTGCAAAGCATTGCATGTTAAGTCTGATGGATTTCAGCAGTACATGTCAGAATTCATTGGCATGCAGAACTCTTTGTTTGTTTATTTAGTTTATGTCTTGCCTTTCCACCCAAATTGGTGTTTAAGATGACTTACAATAAAATACAGTTTAAAAACAATATCTTAAACTTGTTAATCTTTAAGGTGTTGGAAATGTCTATGGGTTTTGGAGATTTCAGTAGAATTAGCATCTAAGCAAGTTTAGGATTTCAGCAGATAGGACACAAGCAATGTGTCTTGTGATTGCTTTGAATCAGGTAGAAGATCAAGTGGCACTGTCACATATCATTAGCAAACTAGAGAATAACCACATGGCTATTTTTCCAGTGTAGTATAGATCTTTTTGGTTAAAATATTTAATATTCTAAAATACATTGCTTCATGTTCATTGTCAAAAAGTAGATAAATAGCTATATTCCCTATGATTAAAGGGAAGAAGAACAGAATTTTTTTATTTCCCTTTTGTCAACAGCAATTTCGCCATGAAAACTTGGTCAATCTGATTGAAGTCTTTAGACAAAAAAAGAAAATTCATTTAGTATTTGAATTTATTGACCATACAATTTTAGATGAGCTACAACATTACTCTCATGGACTGGATAGCAGACGACTTAAGAGATATCTCTACCAGATTCTTCGAGCAATTGACTATCTTCACAGCAACAATGTAAGTTCCCTACAGACATTGTAGAGAAAAATGGAAGTCTGGAACACTATCATTTCCAGCTGAATATTTTGTTTGCTAATGCTAGTCTCATTTTATGCAGGTGGTATAGTTCTGTTCTATAAAATATTGTCATTTTGAAAGGAGAAAATGTGTCAGTCTGAACTTAACACCTTCTTTCTTGACAGAAACTCCTATTTTCTTAGCAATTGCATCATTTGAAGGAATTACAGTGACTAGAAAAGTCTCACCTCTTTAATTTGTAATGTGCAGGGGTTTCTATCAGAAAAAGGAGAAGCAGCTCTTGTTTAAGTTTTATGGCTAGGAATGTAAATCCCACAAATTTGATATAATCCTTGTTACTACCATATTCTTACCTCCTGCTTTGGTTCTCTTGAAATGAGAGGAATGCAATTTTAATTCTATACTTTAATTTGAATGTTAATTTTAAAATTGTAATTTAATTAATTTTTAACTTTAAAATTAAACTTTAATTTTAATTCTGTACTTTAATAGAATTAGTAGAACTTTAGTTCTATACTTAATTCTATACTTTTATACAGCATAAACTCAAGAGAGTGGGCCCCTGCACTGTAGGGCCATTGCTGCCAATCTTCCATAATCCAGTCTAGCACAATATGCCATAAGAGCTACAAATAATGTGTGAAGAACACAATTTCGTTCACAGATGACACATCAAATCACAAAACATAACATGCATATAGATAACACATTATCAGTGGCGAACTATAAAATGTAGCCATTTTATAGATGAAATATATTAGTGAGACTGCAATTTGTTGGAAGGCTAGCAAGTGAATCATTGACATATAAAGCAATCAGTCAAGAAAAGTGCACCAGGTAACCACAAGCTTCGCATACATGTGAATGAATGAGTATGTAAACCTAGAAGCAGGCTTATCAGGACCTGGAGAATCTGCACATTTTTCATTCCTGTGCTTGAACATTTAACACTAATTTATTAATTTTTGCGTTCCCTCTGAAGAAATACTGGTGTTCAGCTGCAATGTTCCTGGAGCAATAACGCAGCCAAGAGTGATTTTAAAAGTAAAGAAGTGATTGAACAGAATCATAATGAGGAAGAGCTTTGCAAACTAGGGAAGCAAAAGTTGATGGTTTAAAAACTTTCTGATGTGTAGTATAGTGGGTAGAGTATTAGACTGGTACTTCTGAGGGTAAGGCTGTAGTTCCTGCTCATCCATGAAGCTCATGGGGTGATTTTGAGTTAGCCACTGACTGTCAACCTTAACAGCAAGGTTGTCTTGAAGATAAAATGCAGGACAGGAGGGTTATGCAGCCTTCATTGGATTCCTTGCAGGAAAAGTAGTATATAAATATAATGAATGAATGAATGAATGAATGAATGAATGAATGAATGAATGAATGAATATTTTTAGTTACTAGGGCTGCAGAACTCCTTGCCTCCCCCCGATTGGGTTGCTAATCCAAGCCTTGATGGTTTTACAAAAAGTAGCAAGTAGAATTAGGATCAAAACTTCCTTCAAGGCAGGCTTTTAAAGCTCTACTGGAAAGTCCAAAATAATAGACTTTCTAGAGCCAAAACCTTCCTCCATCTATGCACTTTAACTTTTATTTGTTCTCCAGTTCTCCCAACCCAAATGGAGAGAAGGAAGAGGAGTCACAGCAGGGAAGGCTGTTGGGAAATGAAGGAGATGACTCCATTCTATTATATTCTTTCAACTTCTAGAAACAACCATTATTATTAAAATGTTCAAGTATGGATTTGAAAACAGAAGTAAAATTATAATTACTGACTAGGTAGGCTGAGTCTGCCCTTTAAATAATTAGGCACACCCTGAATTTCATCCCTGGTTAAAATGGTATAAAAATCCTATAATTGCTAGAGTAGATATGCCCAGAATCTCTGATTTTGAGCCAGTCATGCTTGATAGTTCCCTAAGTATTCGATTGTATTTATTTATGGTTTGGAAGCCGCCCCAAAGCTTATGCGAATAGGGCAGCATATAAGTTCTCCAATAAATAAGTAAGTAAGTAAGTGAGTGACCTAGACTACTTCTTCCACTTTCATGGATATGTTTTTTTTTTTTTTTTTTGCAGTTCTCAGAGTGTTTCTTAAAGCTTCTCTTCATCTGTCAACATAGTTGCTTGAAGGACAGAACTTGCATGCTTCTTCTACTTAATAATCTGAATGGTGACCTAAGTCTCTATTTTTAAAGTAAAATATTTTGTTCTGAAACTGGAATCCATTTTATTCCTCTTTTGCCAGGTAATTCACCGTGATATCAAACCTGAGAATATTTTAGTTTCACAGACTGGAATTACTAAACTTTGTGATTTTGGCTTTGCTCGGACCTTAGCAGCCCCTGGAGATATTTATACTGATTATGTGGCCACACGATGGTACAGAGCTCCAGAGCTGGTATTAAAAGATACTACATATGGGAAGTATGTCTTTTTGAAATCCTTTTATGAACTTGTTCTGGACAGCATATTAGTTACTTTTAGTTAAAGAACATTTACAAACTTTGCTGTGGTGAGATATAGTGCAGAAACATTAGATGGCGCCCTGATACACATTTAAACAGTAATTTTGATGGACAGGATATTAATGAAATCTCAATTCACAGAACACTGTATATAATCTTACCCTATTGAAGAGAATTGCAATGTTTCATTGGATTCAAAGATGCAGGTAAGAAGTTTATCTTGAAATAATATTGACCATTAAATGGTTTCTACTATTAGCTACATTTTGAAATGGAAATAGTTTCAGTACATAGGAATTGCACGCCAACCTCTGTACAAGTCTCATATTTCAGTGGAACATGCTTGCATATGATGACCTAAAAGGCCAGCTTATTGTGCAAAAGATGGGCTTTACAATCACCAAACACTTTAGTTGCTCCACTTTTTGGGAAGTTACTTGTTCAGGATGTCTAGAGCATGCCCATCTCTATGTCACTGTTACCACAGACTAGCTTGTCCACTCCTTTCCCTCCATAGCCATTCTGTACCATTCCCCAGAGGGAGAGGACAAGACAAATGCAAGTTGCTGCTCTTTTCTTTTGCTACTGCTCATAAGCTTGAGCAGGGCAGGTGAATAAGCAGCGATAAGAAGTAGGAGGAGGAACGGGCAAGGAGCCCAGAGAATCCATGGTGGATCTTCTGCTGTATTGTCTATCTTGGTACATGCTGTGCACTGCCAAGCCCTGAAAACTGCCCTAGTCATCTTGGAAGTCCTGATCTGAACAGATAATTGTGAGCGGCCTGAAAGAGATTTTGATACTGGCCTTACCTGGATGTTCCTATTATATCAACTATATCTCACTTCCATTGCAGTCAGTATGATGCATGCCAACACAACATATTTAGGACAAGGTTCTCAAGTGACTTACCTTGGTGGCATATACTTGAAGTCAGTGAACTTTTCTAGATGATTTCACTTTTTGTGCCCTTGGCTAACTGAACTTCCTTTCATTTTTCACAGTTTTGTACTTCTGAACTATTACCTTCTTTCTTGTCTTCCTTTTTAAAAAGTTGTGACTGATAGTAAGTAGACATCAGTGTAGCTTCATCTGTTGTATTATTGAGCACTTTGTTTCCTGATTTTAGGCCTGTAGACATTTGGGCTTTGGGTTGTATGATCATTGAGATGGCTACTGGGAACCCCTACCTACCTAGCAGCTCTGATCTTGACCTACTTCATAAAATTGTGACCAAAGTTGGTAAGTACTGCTGTGGACAATATTTGCAGAAACCACCATCATAAAATCTATTGCTATTGTAAGTACAAATCAATGCCAGTATAGATCTCTACTCCAATTCTGGGATGTAAATCTCTGTTGGATTAATTAAAAGAAATGCAAGGAATAAATTCTTCACCTGGAAAAATTCCATTTGCTATCAAAAGGACAGGCAGGATTTTCCAAGATACATTTTCAAAATTTTTATTCTCTTAAATTTCTACATAAACAACATCGATTTCCCCTGTAGTGCAAACAGCATTGAGTGGGAGGAGGCACTTTTGTTTCAGGAAAGTGCTATGGTGGGGGGAAGGGTTCATTTTCTTACTCCAAGTGCTGTAACCCTGAGCCAGTTTACCCCCACCATCCAGCCACTTTTGAGAAGTGGAAAATCCATTCACATAGTTCCTGTTATCTCTCTCACTTCAGTCCTGAACAACTGAGCACAGATGTTGTCTTTTTGTGGGGGATGGCCCCAATTAGAGGCTTTGACTTCCCTCTCTGACCTTTTAAAAAGAAAAGAAAAATCTTGGCTGAGCACCCTGCAGGTTTTCCACATTATCTGGCTGTTGCTGCACTACCAAAGGCACTCTAGGCAGTTCAGCAGTTTCAGTTATGCAACTGAGTATGTGTGAACTCCTGCACATGCACAGGATGTTTCTGCTGCTGCGAAGCCTTCTCCATGGAATGGAAAGATCTGATCTCTGTCTGGTGCTAGGCAGTGCTAGCACCTGTTTTCAGAGTAGGAGAATATTATTATATATTTTCTCAGGAAGCTTATTATTTGATAAATGGTCAGTGCAATCATAAGACTGTTTACCCAACAGTATATCCCACTAAATTCAGTGCGTCTTATTCCAAACTAAATGCAGCATTTGAAACCTTTTAGCAAAATTGGTATTGAATCTTTAAACCATTTTGTGAAGATTTACCGAATAGGGTAACAGTGTCACTTTGTTGAATGAATTGTAAGCCGGTTGCATTAAGATCTGTGCCAATAGGTAACTTTATGTTAATTTAATTCCTAAGACACATGATTAGAAAGCATTTGAAGCCTCTCAGTGTGCCATGGGATGCAAGTGACTTCAAATTAGTGCATCTCTAATTATTGTATGTGATGAAAATGATGTCGATTGACCTAAATATTAAGGCATAGAAGCAGAGTTTCTGAGCAAAAAAATTCTTCATGTCAAAACAAAGCTGTAAATAATTAATTTTAGCTTATATGTACCTTTATCAACAGTGACATACTGGTGGCTCTTGGGTTTTTTTCTTTCAGGTTCCTTGACACCTCATCTTCAGAATATTTTTATAAGGAGCCCAGTTTTTTCAGGAATGGTTCTTCCTGAAGTACAACACCCCAGAAGTGCAAGGAAAAAGTATCCCAAACTCAATGCAGTACTTGCAGATATGGTTCATGTATGTCAGAAGAGGTCTGAGTATCAAGCTTACTGATGATTATTATTTTAGCCTGGCAAAGTTTGTGTATGTGATTTGCAAACCAATCTTTCTATTAGCTTGCATATTTAGAATTGACACACAGATATGCTTCATGGTATACCAGTCTTTTTCCTTTTCTCTCAGCCCCTTTCCCTTCCAAAGAAAAGAGACTATAATGATTTTTGAAACTTGTGTCCAGGCTCCATAAGGTACCTTTTGCACATTTCAGAGACTCTTAGTAGGACCATGATTATTTTAGTTTGGTAGTCTCTAGTTTTTACTGTCATGCACTTTGTTGAAGAAATTTTGGTGTATAGCCTAAGAATTTTGATACTAACTGTCAAAGAGAGCTACAATATCTTGCTTTTCACAAGCAAAAATCCATGTCATTTGAAATCATTGTCATGAACTTACTGCCCTGAATGTCTCTTTTGAATATTGAGGTTAGCAGTGGCAAAGATTCTAGATATCCTTGATAGCTGAGAAAGAGGGAGGGGGAGGGGGAGGGGGGAAGAGAGACTTGGACCCACTGGTATGATTAGGATTTAAGTTAAGACTATCATTGGATACAGTCCTTTGCATATTAAACACGCACATGCACGCACACACAGACATGTGCACTCACAATTGCAATTATATTTTGTAATAAAGTGCGTAAAAGTACTCTCATTTACTGAGGCCTTAGAATTATGAATTTCTTGTAATACTTGCAGTGGACATGATTTGTTTTTATGTTGTGAATGGGGCTATGAAGAAGAGCTTGAGGCTGGCCTACTTACTAGCATAACACAACAGGGACATCTGAAGGTGTGGGAATGTCTAGCTTTCCCCAACCTGATCCCCCCACCCCGCCGCCGCCCAATGTTTTGGCTTAGCATTCCTGCTGCTAGCATTCCTACTGCTAGCATTCCTGATCATTGGCTGTGCTGCTTGTGGCTGATGAGATTTGGAGGGTGTTAGGCTGGGGAAGGCTTTCTTAACTTTCAGTGTCTTAGATATACTCACTTCTTACTTGAAGCTTGAGAGGACAGACATGCAGTGGCCACTCACAGTGCCTCTATTCCCTGAGGAGATTCTAATTATCTGGCCTTTTTATTAAACTTAACCCTCTGAATGGAGCAAGAGCACACATTTGCTTGGGCTGCTGTAATGGCTTTAAGGGAAAGGGATTCCTCCCGAGTATGCCATGCTGGCCTGTCATGATGGGCTGGTTCTATAGCTGCACTGCATTAAGGGGATAGACCATAATAAATGCATTGATTATTACTACTGGATGCAGTGTACCCGGTAAACAGAAAGTCACCATTTTATGCTTTTGCATTTTTTGGCAAGGGTCAGTGTATTTGATGCCCTTTTGATAATTAAATTTACCATTTACTTACTTGCAGTGGGAAATGAATGGCTCTTCCAGTTTTTAAAAGAGGAGGGGATCACCTTGAAATCCAATTTCAATTATTTGGAGTACTATGTTTGAAGTACACTATTTGGAGTATAGTACCTCATCTTGAGTACTGTGTCCAGTTCTGGGCACCACAGTTTAAGGAAGATGCAGACAAGCTGGAAAGGGTTCAGAGGAGGGCTACAAGCGTCTGGAAACAGAGCCCTATGAGGAGAGAGTGAAAGAAGTGGGCATGGAGGAGTGAAGAACGGGGGGAGATATGATAGTACCCTTCAAGTATTTCAAAGATTATCACATAGAGGAAGGCCAGGACCTCAGTCATCCAGAGTGCAAGACATGGAATAATGGCCTTAAGTTACAGGAAGTCTAATTCCAGATGAACATCAGGAAGAACTTCCTGGCTGTTAGAGCAGTATAAAAATGGAACCAATTACTTAGGGAGCTTGTGGGCTCTCCCACACTGGAGGCATTCAAGAGACAGCTGGACAGCCAACTGAGAGGGATGCTTTAACTGAGAGTCCTGCATTGAGCAGGGCTTGGACCCAGTGGCCTTTCTGGCCCCTCCCAACTCTTCTGTGATTCTGTAACTTGACAGAAGCTTAAGCACAGCATTTAAAAGTTACTTAATAAGTCCTTTAGCTAGGAGATTGGTAATTTCCTGAAGTATAACAAGTTGATTTTTCCCCATGACAGCAGCTAATGTCATTATGTTTATTTTCTGCATGTTGTCTTGAATTAATTAGGGTTAATTAAGCCTATTCCTTAGAATCTAGCAAGAAGGAATCTATATATGGATTTTTTTTTAGTTCAGCTAAGAGACTTAAGAGCTCCAGTTGGCTTCTTAACATCTGAAAGGCCTGTGATCATATGTTTCAGCATTGCAGGGTTGACCCCATCAGCAATAAAATGAATTTCAGTTATTCCTGTATTTATAGATAAAAGTCCAGTGACTGTTTTTTGTGTATGTGTGTGTTTGAGGGGTGGTATTTTTAATTTATCTTGATCATACTTCAGAATACCAAGTATTTATTGCAATTACACTAGTAATACATTTAATTGAGTGAAACATAACTACAGTGGTGTACCTTGGCTCACGAACTTAATCCATTCCAGGACTCTGGTCATGACCCAAATTGGTCATGAGCCAAGTTAAATTTCCGCATAAGGTTCTGTGTAAATAAGGTTAATCCGTTCTGTAACCATTTTTTAAATCAGAAAAATGTGAAGCAAAGTGACAACAACAATGATTGCGGCCATCGTGACCTAACCCTGACCCTAACCCCCCACCCCAAGCACAAGTGTGGCCATCTCCCCGCCCCCCGCCCCAGCACAACCGAGATCGCGCCTGTCATCCCTGCATGACTGAAATCACGCCTGCCAACCCTGCACAGGCCTGTCATCCCTGCAGACGCCCATCATCCCGGCGTGCTGGGGGGTGGAGAGGAGAGACGGGCACGATTGCAGGTGCACTGGGAGAGGAAGAGACGGGCGCAAACGGGGTGTGCTGGGGAAGGGAGAGATGGGCACGATCTCGGCCATCTCCCCCCGCGCCCCCAGCACGATCGCAGCCACCTTCCCACTTGGGGGGGTGGGGAGATGGCTGCGATCTTGCTGGTTGTGGGGGGAAGGGAATGGCCGAGATTGTGCCAGTCTTTCCTGCAGGAGTGTGCCTGTGATCACGCACGCCTTCCCTGCACAAAAGCAACTGTGATTGCAGCCACCTCCCCCGCCCCCCCGAGTGGGGAGATGGCCACGATTGCAGTTCTGTTCATGCAGGGAAGATGTGTGTGATCATGGGTGCACTGCTGCAGGAAAGACGGGCACAGCACAGCTCAGCCGCGGGGGAGATGGCCAAGATTGCGCCCGTCTTTCCTGCAGGAGCACACCTGTGATCATGCATGCCTTCCCTGCACAAAAGCAATTGCAATCGTGGCCATCTCCCTACTCGGGGGGGTGGGGTGGGGAGATGGCTACCATCTTGGTCACCACCCAATGCAGATTTCGCGACCCAAGTCAAAATTTTAATGAAATGTTTGTTCGTGACCTGATTTGTTCATGAACCAAAGTGTTCATGAGCCGAGGTACCACTGTATTCCATGGTGCATTGATGCCATCCTCATCCTATGTAAACACTGTTGAATCTTGCCAACCTCTAAGACTGCATAGTTTGGGAGTAGCTGTGCAACAATGAACAAAGTTGCTGTGATTGATCCGAGATATTGCATCAGCCTTACTGCCTTTGACATAGGAGACATTATTTAGCACAGACAGTTGTTACATGGCCACTAAGCTATGCAGTATCCTAGTGTGGAATAGATTTGTTATGGTTCAGCTCCCTGAACTTGCACTGAAAGGTCCTGTTGAATTTATGAAGCATACTGTATCAGCCAAGCCCAGTTTATTCAACATGAAAGCTATCTTTAAGAGTCATCTTCTATTTTCTCATACCATGTTGAATTATGTTCTCTTATGGTTCCTCATAATATTTTAAACACAAAAGAAATGTCCCTGTTCATTTTCTCTGCTGTATTCCTGAGGATATATTTTACTAATGCACTTTTATGTAGAATTACTGTTTATTAAATTTGAGACTGAAGTAAATTTGAATGGCAAATTATGACATGTTAAAGCAAATTCTGTTACAAACTCCTAATGGCAACAGCAATGCCAGGCACCCTTGTATTTATGCATACTGCACTGCTGTTGTTCATGCTTGAACAAAAGTCTAAAGTACTTGATTCAGCAAGAAGTAGCAAGGCTTGGAGTAATAAAGTGCCCTTACTAGTCATAATTTCTTTTGCAGTGATAGGCTTAGTTTCAAGGAAATGAAGGCGCTCATTCATTTAGTGGAAGATCCATGAATCCAAGGTTCTTTTAGTAGCAGAATAATACTTATTCACAAACCAATAATTGCACTGGCCAAAAAACGTGAAGTTGTCGCAGCTTCAGTTTGTTCTTTGCACAGTTCTGTTACATCTTAAATATCACTGGCAACACAAATAGAAGACCTTTTATATTAAGAAAGGTGATTTTGTTTATTGAAAAATATAAACAATAAACAAATAATATAAACAATAAAATAAGGAAATATAAACCAACTTCCATATGACACAGGATGCTCTACCCTCTGGCTAAACGGGGGGCTATATGGACAATGTCAGTGAACAATTGTCCTTGATAAATACAAAGCAGCTACTTGATAAACAACACTGCTTCAGAAAAAAATATGTTTACATGTACCTCACTTCTCTGAACAATCAGAAGTTCCAGGGGCCATGTTACAGTGCTTAAGCTCTTTTGCATATGAGAACACTGAAGTCATTTGGGGTGGGTACATTTAAAATTTTGAAAGTGCGTTGTGGGCACTTGCACAAAATGGCCATTGTGGACTAGGATTTGCCCACTTTGTTCCCATTTGCTTGAAAACTCATTTCCCAGAGGCAACCTGGAGAGCTGAAAAGAAAAGTAACTTTCTCAGGAATCTGCATACAAGGCAGAGGTGAGTTCTGATCTTCAAAACACAAAACTACAAATGAAGATGGTGCTGGATATGATCACTTCACTTTGCAGGATGCCATCCTCCTAAACATTTTAAAATAAGAAATATTTTTAAAAATTTAAATCAGGAGAAACAGTAAGCCTAGTCACCACCAAGAGAGATATCTGTGAGTACACTGGTGTCAAGAATACCACACTAGAGAGGCCAGCTTTAGACTATCCCTGTAATATGGGTTTTATTTAAATATATACAGGTTGAACATCGTAGAGGTAGATAGTTTTCAAAATGAGGTGGCAAAACTGCTGTTTATATTTGCAAATCAACATTGTGCATCTTGCCACCTACCTGACTGCTTCCCGATTAGTTATTTAAAGCTAAAAATTCTCAGTTCTCAGATTCTCTCCTTGTCTCTGTCCAAATTCAAAACTGCCTTTTTTGCTTTTCCATTACCACTGAGCATTGACCTCAGACCCTGTGCCTGCTAATGTATTGTAAGTGCACAATCAATATCTGTTTAGACAGAAAACAATGTGTTTAGACAGTGTGCTAGCTGGGGGGTGTATTCCTGCCTAAGCATGCATAGGATTGCACCCAGATCTAACTCAGAGATAGGTATTCTGGTGCTTTCCAGCTGTTTCGATTGATTTAATTTGGCTTTTTAACCATTTTGCAATTATTTTTAAAATTGTTTTAACATTTTACTATTTTTTAAATTTGTTCATGCTTTTTGTTTTCTGATTTTTTAAAAAATGTTTTGTAAACCACCTTGATTTCCCCCCCAGAAAGGTAGTAAATAAAAATGTTTTAAATAAATAAACCCCTACACACCCCTGTCAGTCCAGTCAATAGTTAGTGATTACAGGAATTGTCCAAAACATCTGAAGGATACCAGATTGCTTTTCTCTAGCCATTAGTTTATAAGCCTGGACTATTTGCAAACAAACATCGTACCCAATAATGCTTCCCTAAACAGTTGTAACAATATGAATTTACTGTCCAGGGCTGCTCAATGAGCTGCTGCATGTTTATGAAGGAAAATGTATTTTTAGGTATTTTATAACCAGAGAGCTAGGGCATATCTCTGTATTTTCTTTTTCAGGACTCCAACGGTCAGGGATTTTCCATCACTAATGATATTCACTGATATTTTAGAAAGCTCACAGTGGCATATATATGCACAGAATGCTTTGCTCTTATAAAAGAGCACCTGCCCACAAAGGATGTCACAAAAGGGCTTATCCAGAGATCAGATCAAAGCATAACCTGCTTTCACTTTCACCTTTGCAGAATAGTTCTGCCAATTCAAAGGCAATATCTACTTCATATGTTACGAACGGAAGAATAGCTTTGTGATTGGGGATGGCCATGTTGCTTTTCCCATCATAGAAGGCCAGGTTTCAGGTTTATGTTGGTTCTGTAAAAGTCACAATGAAAAATCTAAAGACTTTCTATTAGGGATGATTCTAAAGAAGACTTGACTTCGGGCCAAACCAAACATGACACTAAGTAGATGAAGATTTTTTAAACATATTTGTAGCAAGTGTATATGGTGTAGGTTGGTTTTGATTGAGATCACAGAACTCGGGGAAAGGAGATACAATTCTTTTCTCATCACTGTGATCCTAATGAAAATTCCCACCCATGTATTGCTGTTAGTCCTGAGGGAAAAAGTTCTCATTTTTGCCAATGGGATATTTTGCAGTGTGGGGGCAGGTCAGGGTTAATAGTAAAATGGAACAGGAGGAATGTTCATTAGGCTTTTTAGTTCTGTGATCTCAATGAAAATAGTCTCACCATTTTGGCTATTTTAAGAAGAAAAAAACCCCAGACATTTAGAGAAATATCAAGGGTGACCATTCATTTGAAGGAGGGCAACAAAAATGATCCAGGGTTTGGAAACACTGTCCTATGAGGAGAGACTAAGAGAACTGGGCATGTTCAGCCTTGAGAAGACAGGACTGAGAGGGGACATGATACCCCTCTATAAGTACCTCAAAGGCTGTCACAAACAAGAAGGTCAAGATCTCTTCTTGCTGGTGCCAGAGTGTAGGACACGGAATAATTAGTTCAAGTTGCTGCAACACAGATTCAGGATAGATACCAGGAAAAGTTTCCTCACTGTTAGAACAATGTGACAGTGGAACCAGCTGCCTAGAGAGGTGGGGGGCTCTCCCACACTAGAGACATTCAAAAAGAAACTGGACAGCCACCTGATAGGGATGGTGTAACTTGGTGTCCTGCAACAGCACAGAGTTGGACCCAATGGCCTTCATGGCCCCTTCCAACTCTTCTATGATTCTATGAAGTTTCATTATAAATTCTGTCTTGGTTGGTTATCATTTCTGTTAATCATAACAATATATATATATATGTATGTATGTATGTATGTATGTTTGTAGGGAAATTAGGTCAGCTTCCTGCAGCCCAGTACCCTCCTGACTACAGCCCTCATAGTTCTGGAACAGCATGTCCCTGGCTATGAATATTGCAAGCTGTAGTCCAACACATTTAGAGGGCTGAATTAGGTTATCATCTGTGATTTCACAGGTACTATTTGATAAGTGGATGCAACACTCACAAATAAAGCACTTCAAATTGCAGTGACCCTACTTGAAGAAAGACTTGCAGTTCTCCAGATATAATAGAATAGAATGCAGGTTGAATGTTGGGAAAATGCAAATATCTATTAACTAAATAAGAGGAATAATATGTAGTATGTATGTGTGCATATGCACACAAACATTTTCCCTTTGTAGAATATTGTGTATTACTTCAGAAATGTCACTTCCTAAAAGAATCATTTTATTATTTTCCAGGCTTGTTTACAAATGGATCCTGCAGATAGAATATCCTCTGCTGATTTGTTACAGCATGAATATTTCATCAGAGATGGTTTTGTTGAGAAGTAAGCACCTTCTGCTCAGATTTCAGAACTTAGCATAATGGGCTTTCAAGAAAATGGCCTCTTTGCATTGCAAATGTTTGGTTGCTATTAATTTGAGGAAGGAGGATCAAAGCATCTTCTTCTAGTACAGTCCTTCTGTTTCCAAATGCAAAATGCTACCTTTTCAAGTTGTTTTGTGACTGGGTTCCAATGTCTTTCGATCCTACTGACCAGAGCTTATGATGTGACTGCTGATGAATGACCGAACTCCCAGTGCATTAATCAGTATAATTCTGTGGACACAGAAAACATGCTTCCAAAATATTGTGAAAACATACAGGGCAGAAAATGTTTGTTTGCTTGTGTTTGTGATTATTGTTTAGGAATCAGCAGCACTTTGAGGTCTGCCTTTTGCAAACCTGATACAGTATGAATAGGGGTCAAGTTTCTGAAAATCAAGGGATGTTCAAAAAAGACACATCGACAACTATAGAAGTTCTGAGACCCTAATCTAGTCTCAGTCTATACAATAGTATTTCTGTCAATAAAAAGGCAGTTGTTATCACCAGCTGAGATGATGTTGATCACTTATTGAGAAGGGAAACAGAGTGTCTGATTTACTCTTTCCCACCACAGCAAGTGGGCAGTAGTCCAAAGGCTGACATGCTCACCATCCATCTGTTCCATCTATAAATGTGTGGACATCGTGTTGAAGTACAGACACATCCTGAGTGTTTATTGTGGGGTTTTGGCATCAGGCACTGTTTTGTTGCTATTTTAGGACAGAGTGGATAGATTTCTGTTTGTGAAAGATTGTTTGCATGCTCCTGATGCTTGTGGATTGCAGTATAATGCTGTAATTCCAAGTGTATATATTTGGAAATAAATTGCATTGAAATCAATAGAACTTCAGCTAAACATACTTAAGTTCATGGTGTGCTGTATTTTTTCAGCAAAAATGACAGATAACCGGGTGGGTTCCCACATGACACAAGGGTTAGCAACATTGACCCAGACCGGCTCTAGATAGGCATATTTTTACTTTGTTTTCTACTGACAATGGTCAATAGAGGAGCTGTCAAGAGAAAGCAAAGACACAGGTGAAAGATGGTAGTCAACTTATTCCTATCCCAGTGAAATTTTCAGAGTTTTGAATACTGCCCCCCACCCCCCCACACACATAGATTAGTGCCTCCAACTTTCTCATCCATTCCCAAGACCATGTGGTTGGGAAGTGGAAAAATGCAGCCCTCCCAATTTGATTGACAGTTGGCTTTAATAGCTGCCTAGGGGCTTCTTTAGAAAACAGGAATTTAGACAGGGTACAATAGGTTAGTTTGGACTATTCAGATCTTATATTTACAGGGAACTATACTGATTTTATATATATATTCCAAACCATCCTGAGGGAATTCATTTAGGTTTGGACAACATGACAGCATACCATGACTTGTCTCCCTTAATGGAAAGTTGTATTGTTCTAACCAGCTCATTCTGTGATACTGTTTTGTTGACTTTAATGTAAGTAATATGCAAAAAAAATTGATGCATATTGAGCAAATCTGGCTAGGGACTTACTCATTTTTTTAAAACCTTGAAAGGGTTTAGTTAAAGTGTCGTGACAAGAAAGAATCCTTGATTTTAGAGTATAATATATAGAGCGATAAATTACCGCATTTTTCGCTCTATAAGACACACCTGACCATAAGATGCACCTAGTTTTTAGAGGAGGAAAACAAGAAAAAAATATTCTGAATCAAATGGTTTACTAAACTATTTAATAAACTATAACAGAATACAGTAATACCGTATTTCAACCTTATAAAGTGAACAGCATTCAACAGTGGCATTAAGAACCATCATCACTGTCATTAACAAAAGAGAGACTTTAAAGTTCGAGTACTCTTGTAGTTTTCGTTGAACCCATAGAACTCATCATCACTAGAGTCAGAATTTATGAAGCTCTGTTGCTCACAATCACTGACATCCCTTTCTTAGTAGTGGAATTATTGAAGGAATCCACAATCTACACCAGTTATACAAGAGCTGCTGCAGACAATTCAATAACAAATCTAAAAAAGCCAGTAATGTCCATGCTGCCCTACTACTAAATAATAAAAAAATTCTGACAAAAAATGAGATATTGTACAGTAAATCAAACACACAGCAGACTAAGTAGCCTTTGAAGAATAAACTTCATACACGAAGGTAATGCTGTTCAAATAGCCACTGATCCTTAAAAAAATGTGTCTGATCAACTAACAGATAACTGATCCATGGAAAGCTTCCTGATAATCACAGGCACATTCCCCATCACTTCTCCATGGGCTTCATTAAAAGATGGGTTGCCATTTGAAAACACACGCCAACCTGTGATTAACAGCTCTCACCTGCACCAGAGGAGGGGGGCGGAGCAGGGTGCGCCAAGCATGTGCCGGCCAGGTGGTGCCACGTGGGGCCGGCAGTGTGCCGGCGGTGGTCTTCCCAGGTGGTGGGGGTGAGCAGTTCCCGGGTGGTGGGGGTGAGCAGTCCGTCTCTCCATGCGGCCGGCAGGTTAAAGCCCATGGCTCCTCCTCCACACCTCTCCCCCTGAGCGGCACAGCTCTCACCTGCGCTGGGGGGGGGGGCGGAGCAGGGCACGCCAAGCGCAGGCCGGCCAGGTGGTGCCACGTGGTGCAGGCCGCCGGCAGCGTCCCGGGCGTCAGGCACACACACATTTGCTCTATAAGACACACAGACATTTCCCCTTACTTTTGAGTGGGGGAAAAGTGCGTCTTATAGAGTGAAAAACATGGTATTTACCAAGGTTGGAATATAACGTGAAAGTTGGAATATGTTTTACAATGAGGAATAAATGTTTTACACGGAACACAATGTACTTATAAGCAAGCTCTCTTTAAAATCTTTGCCTTCAGGGCAACAACTAAGATGTACAACAGATGTTTTTGGTTGGCATGCATTTTAATATGGCTAAATATATTTTGCTTAACTGTAATATGGCAAAGACTGTAGCTGAATAAGAGGTTACATCAAGTATTGACTATGAAAGTGTTTGCTCTATAAATTGCTTTCTGCACTGTACTTGCACTATACTAATGCTCTGCTTGTGGTATCTATTTTGGTCTCTGAATAGTATAGGCTGACTGTGAGGGCTTGGTGGGAAGTGGAGTGTGGGGATCAAGAAGCAGTTGGACTAGATCTTCCTTAGGTATGTATATGTGATGGGAAGTCATTTTTCATTATCAGATTCTTACCAGAACTGAAAAATAAATTACTGCAAGAAGCAAAGCTAAGTTTTCTTTCAAAATTCAGAGACAATAATAAGGAGGCCGAACAAATCAAAGATGAAAAGAGAACAGTTCATATTAATGTCTCTCAGAATGGCCCAGTTCTTGTAAAGGTAAGAATGATAGCTATTTTTAGAAAATAATACTATTATTTTTGACAATTACTCTTAGTAATAGTTCCATTTCAATTATTACACATAACACACAGAGCAAACCTAAAAAAAATAACGTTATCTACAGACATGAAATTAATGGGTTCTGCTTAGATGATACTCGTATACTAAGTGGAGGTACAACATAGTGCCATACATTTCCTTGAATTGGGCAAAAGATTTTCATTGAATCCCCACCTGATCTTAGGTGCATCTCAGTTGTAAGTCTTAATATTTTACAGTTGAATCAGTAATTAGGTTCAGGATTACAAACAATGACCCCACCAGTGTCACATGTAAGAGCTCTTGTCAGTGTTTTCTATCCCTTTCATGAAGGGTGTGGGGCAGAATTGCAGAAAACACATAAATGAAAGCTGCTTTCTCTATGAAATAAATAGGATACTCCAGTTTGTGAATTTCTGGACTGGGAACAATGTATTTAGATTTGGGAGTACAGGGAATTAACCACATTTTTGATATACAGTGTTGTTGCTTTCACAGTCCTGAAAAACAGTGAGGGTGGCTTCCCATGTCACAGTAAGCCACCCTGTGAATAACTACAGTAGATTTGTTGCTTGCAGAACAAACCGCAGTGCACCTGACAGATGATGGGCTTATCATGGGATGTCCCTCCCCTCCCCTCCCTCCACCCAGTATCAGACATTTTTAATTCTTTTAAAGAAAAAATTAATTGCTCTTGCACAACTATAGAGGTGTGCACTTACAGAAGTCCAAAATAGGACACTGCCCACCTAAGGTATCCTAGGACTTCTCTGCTGTCAAATTGCAGCAGGCAACAACCTGGACATTGACCAAGAAAGACTGCAAATAGGTTTATTTCTTGATTTTGCATCGTGTTCACAGCTGTCAAAAGGCCATCATGGGAAATCAAAGAGGTAAGGGATCTTTGCAAAAGAGAGTAGCAAGTAGATTAACCTCAATGTGGCAGGATAAGGGAATTCTTATTGGATCTGACTGTTTTTAGTGTGCGGCACCTTTTCCACTTTTCCCCAAGATTCTAGGGACTTAAGAACATGGAAAAGTGTGAGCCAAAATGGGACCATTGACAGGATTAATCTGATATTTTCATGGCAATGCTGAGTCAGTGATAATTGCTCCACTGTGCCACTTGGGCATTAATATCATTCGCAGTGGTCCAAATGAGCTTCCAGCAAGTGGTAAGGGAACACTTTTGTCTAGCAGTTTGCTCACAACTTCTCTCTACCCATGATGGGGTTTGGGTAACATGACACCTACCATGGCTTTAACAAACTGAAGGCAAGCCACAGATTGTCAGGGTGGCTTGTTACTCAAAAACAAGCCTTCCTGTGGGAAGCAGTCTGAATTGGCACAAATGACAATCTGTTGTAGCTTGTTACCCAAGAAGGGTTGTCATGCCAAGTGAACCCAGTCAGCAAAAGAGGCTAAACTTCAGCTTATTGTTTTGCCTGATAAGAATTTTGATAAAGATCAAAGCCTACCACACTGTTACAGTCTGGTAAGATTAAAAGAAAAGAGGTATACAGACAGGCATGTTTGCATTTTTGAGTGAATATCCTGAGACTTAGCCATGGCAGGAATGTACTCTGTAACATTGCCATACAAGCATTGACTTCAGTAATGGATATAGAATTCAACATCCTGAGAATATAATAGAGTTTTGTATACAACTTTTCCTGTACACACAATTTCTACCTTCTGTAGATTTAGGAAAAGTTTTAAAAGTCTATGGGCAAAGTGTGATATAAGCACAAAATCCAAAATCAATGTGGGGCAGAGTTTTCAGAGATTTGGAATGGGTCTTCATGCCATCATAGACCCTGAGAACTAGATGAAACAAAATGGATTTGTCCAATTTATATATTGCAGTATTTGATTTGTTTTACTGCAACTTCAACATGTTTGAGGTCTATAATTGTGCTACTTGTGCTGTGATGCTGGAATTATTGACATAGTATTCATGACTGTTTAAGTTCATGCCAGATGCACTTTAACATATTGAAGAGGAGGCAATTTTATCTGTTGAAAATGCCAAGAAGAATCAGGCTTGCATAGCTAGGTAGCTAAATAATTACCATAAATTTTAATTGGTCTTTACAGATTCTGAAAGGAATTGTATGGCTTTATTTTTCATTGACTCCCGGAAACTTGAGAATGTTCCACTTTGTTTAGAATCCAAATGAAAATCGTGAGCAACAAAAAAATGTTCAGAGTTTGTGTGTATTATCTATTCCAGGACATTGAAAAAGACAAAAAACCAAAAGAGATAAAGGTCAAGGGTATCAAAATGAAAGGAGGAAAATCTGAAACCTCAGAGTTTAAAAGAAATGAACCAGAAGATGCAGCTTTACAGTGGGCTGCTCTGTCTCAGAACTCTTTAAACCTTGCTCATGAGAATAAGCCCACAGGCAGTGATGGCAATGCCCCAGCAGCTACAGGCCCTGATGCGGGTGGGCCAAAAGAAGATTGTCCACAAACGCCCTCTATGACAATGCCACGCATCCACCAAAACTGTGGAAATCTCACTGCAAATTTCAATCCACACTTCTTGTGTCCTAATTCAAGGTATGCACCGCAAAACTCTGGGGGAACCAGGACATTTTTAATATTCATTTTTTTCCTAAGGTAATTTAAATGCTACATCTAGATAGGGTATATGCCATTTCTTACTGAAGAACTATTCCCTCTAACATACATTAATAAAATAATAGCACACATGAAATACGCATTTTTCATTTTGTGTTAAAGAAAAACATCAGAAATGAACAGGTCAGTTCTTATCTGACAGTGTATTTGCTATATTGTTTATCTGCTTTATTATCAGAATCCCTGAAAAAGCAAAGAAAAGACGGAGTCCTTGGCCAGCAGTGGGGCAAGTAAGTCTAAATAACCGTCAAGAAGAGGGGGCTATGATTCAAGTAAGTGTAGAATAATAGTCTTTTAAAAATATATTTGGTTTATGTAGCTATGCCATTATGATGTATCTTCAAACAAATAGTTGCAATTCAGAGAATGATTGACACGCTTAAGGGTCAAATTAGACATGACAATAGCAGACCTTTGTTAAAACAGAGTCTGCCCAATTATAAAAAGAAGGCAACTGTTGAGAACAAAGTTGGTACACAGATGGAGTTACTGAACTCTCCCCATTGCAACTTACCTCTGTGCAACCTGTGTGCCCACGGCTTTTCTCCTCTTCCAGTGCTCAAAATGAGCCTCTTCCCCAATTTGCCCCTTTTTGCTCTCAAGAATAAATCCTGTCCCCACCCCCTTTATACATGATTGTGTAGACCCAGACTTAAACAAGATTTAATATACAATTAGACTGCCAAAGAAGTTGAACACAGTTGCTTTCGACTTCAAAAGAGGAAACTTCTCAAAAATGAGGGAACTGGTAAAGAAGAAGCTGAAGAAGGGGACCAGGAAGTTTAAATGGCTTAAAACTGCTTGGCAATTGCTCAGAAATACTATAATAGAGGCATAGGTAATATGCATACCACAAGTGAGAAAAGTTAGCATAAACCAGGAAATTAAGAGAAGTATCACTTCCAAATCCCATGAAATACTGGTTCCCCTTTACTCAGCATTGGTTTGGTCTCATCTGGAGTACTGTGTCCAATTCTGGACACCTGTATAAGAAAGATGTAGACAAGCTGGAAAGGGTTCAGAGGAGGGCAACAAGGATGATCCAGGAACTGGAAACAAAGCCCTGTGAGGAGAGATTGAAAGAACTGGGCATGTTTAGCTTCAGGAGGACTGAGGGGAGATATGATAGCTCTCTTCAAGTACTTGAAAGGCTGTCACAAAGAGAAAGGACAAGTTCTCTTTTTGTTTATCCCAGTGCAGGACATAGACTAACAGGCTCAAGTTACAGGAAGCCAGGTTACGGCTCCTTGTAACTTGAAAAAATTCCTGACTGTTAGAGCAGTATGACAATGGAACCAATTCCCTAGGAAGCTGTGGGCTCTCCTGCACTGAGGCATTCAAGAGGCAGCTGGACAGCCATTTATGAAGGATGGTTTAATTGGGAGTTCCACACTGAGCAAGGCTTGGACCAGATGGCCTTTCTGGCCCCTTCCAACTCTACTGTGATTCTATGAAAGCACCAGCATGGTTAATGCATGGAGTCAAGGAAGTTATTAGGGAGGATAAGATGGAGGAGGAGATGTAAGCTGCCTTGAGCCCTTTGTAGGAAAAAGGCAGGATATCAATCAATCAATCAATCAATCAATCAAATATGTCTCTAAAATCAGCCCTTGTACTGGCAGATTGGAAAATGGCCAATGTAGCAACCAATTCTTAAAAAGGAATGCAGGGGTGATCCAGGAAATTACAGATCATTTAACATCTGTTCTACATAAACTGATTGAAAGCATTATGAATGATAGAATCAGTAAGTACACAGAGAGACAAGCCCTGCTGAAAAAAAATTAGCATGGTTTCCAGAAGGGGAAGTCATGCCTCACATTTTTTTTCAGAAAAATGACAAGTTCAGGGAGACGTGCTAGAGGTGTTTAAAATAATGTATGGTGTGGAGAAAGTAGAGAGGGAGACATTTCTCTCCCTTTCCCGTAACACTCGAACCCAGGGTCACCCCATGAAGCTGATTGCTGGAAGGTTTACTACAGATAAAAAGAAGTACTTCTTCACACAGTGTATATTATTATTATTATTATTATTATTATTATTATTATTATTATTATTATTATATACTATGGAACTCACTGCCATTGGGAAATGGTGATGGCTGCCAATCTGGATGGCTGCCACTCTGGATGGCATAGAAATGCTATAATAATAATAATAATAATAATAATAATAATAATAATAATAGGGACTGGACGAATCAATTAGGGAGGAGGCTATCAGTGGCTACTACCCTTGTGGACTATGTGCTGCCTCCTTTACCAGAGGTGGCCTGCCTGCATACACCAGTTGCTGAGGTGCTTGAGTAGGAGGGCATCCTGCACCCATCCTGCATGAAGGATCTGGAGGGCAACTGGTTTGCCACTGTGTGTATGAAGTGCTGAACTAGATAGATTTTTGGTCTGATCCAGCATGGTTTTTCTTATTTGCTGCTGTTACATCTAGTTCACTCAGTGGGACACAAACGTTTAACAGTCCACTTAGGTTCTATTCATTTCAATGGAATTTAGGCGTGTTTGACTTTCCTTTAGAAGCATGCCAACACCTTCTGTGTGATTTTAGGTTGTCTTATTAATCAAAAGGAGGAAGATTTCATATTTTTAAGCACAGTGTGGGGCAAGCTAACCAGCAGCAATATAGTTTCAATATGTTTTCTAGTTGGAGCCAGTAACCCAACTCAGTTATATTTCCTCTTGAAAGATTTGCACACTTTTTGGCATCTCTAAAAATCATTGGACACTAGTTGAATTAAGAAAATATATTAACAGCTAAAATACTGTATATGCAGGCCACAATTAAAACCATTGGCCCATGGTTGGTACAGCATCATTCATTTATTCATCTCTCTCTTTCTCTCTGAGCTGTGCATAGTTTTTGGCTTTGGAAGTCATGTAAGAGTAGTTCCAGCTCCGGATATTGTTTGTTGTTTCATGGAATAGTGAAGGAAGAGGCAGGCCTTAAGCTGGCACTTGAAACTAGCAAGTTTTTAATGTGAGGATTGGTTGACACGATTTGACCACATTTTGTCCTTAGGGCAAAGGAACTTCCTGTGTCTTTATTCTAGCATGCCATTTAAAGCAATCCATATGAGTTTTGGAAATTCCTTCCAAGCAGTAGCTTGGCCTGAGTCTTCCTTCAGATTCCTGGTTTGTATGTTTAGTGCTGTTTCTCCTTCTCTTTTTCCACACATGGCCCAGTCCCTGCTGCTGTTGTTACTCCTACTTTTGCTTCTGAGATTAAATGGCAGCTAGGCTCCGTTACCGCATGAACATCAACTGTTCCTGACCTATGGGTACTGGCAGTCTATCACTGTGGTTGCATTTCCTCATGCACCAGTACAGTAAGCAGAAATAGGAAAAAGAATGAAATACAGATAGAGCTGTGCTAGAGTTGTAGAAGAGAGTCTTCCAGTAGATAACTAAATGAGCAGTTACTCCTCTGATACATGTTGTAGAGTGAACAGGTAATTGAACTGATCAGAAGAATAAACAAATATGTTTATTGCTGGATGCTGCCAGCTACTAGGGGAAAGACCTACTGATTTAGTCAGAAATATACAACTTCTATTTGTTATTATAGCCCATAATCATGCTTTAACCCTAGCTAATGAAATACAGTTTCTTTATATGGAGTCCTTAAAACATTTAATTCATTGTGCAAGGTCAGAATTATGCATCATCAAGTTGTAACCATAGCAGTGATATTATCTTGGATACGTAATGATTCCCTTTTTAGAACCAAATAGAGAAGGTGTCCCTGTATGAAAGAGCTGCTCAGATTGATCAAATGGTTAACATAAACAGAAAGAAACGCAACATTTCAAGATGTGAGAAGAGAGACATTCACTTCCCAGAACTAACAACAGGGCAGCAGAAGGAATTGAAAGGAATGGAAAGTATGTCTGTTACCTTCTTTAGATTGTTTTCAGATAAATAGGAAGGCCATACACTTTAAGAGCTAACATGAAATGTTACTTTAATAACAGTTTGTAATAATAGTTTTCTCAGTATAAAAAAAGGATCTACTTTGGTAAGTCCGCTGAAGCAGCAGTTCAGTTACTGGTTTACTTCTCAGATTTGCTTTGGGAAGCCAATTGTCATTTAAACATTGTTTAAATAAGTGGTGTGGGTATTCCCAGAATATTTTGAACTGGAAGATACTTCAAAGAGTTTTCCAGTGTAAATTAGGTTAATAGAAAATTGTTCTGTGTGCACTGGAAAATGTTCTGATGCCCCAGCTACATACATCTAATTTAGCATGTTTATTATACTTGAATTTAGTAAACACGAAAGCTAAGAAAATTACCCCATGTTAATATTTGGTCTGACTACACCACCAGCAAGTATTTGCTCTGAAATAATTAAGCAAAAAATTAAAAGCACACCTAGTGTGATTTAAATATTATTTTGTTGTTACATGCCATCAAGTTGTCTCCAACTTATGGCAGCCGTATTGAATAAATGCCCTACAAAATATCTTGTCTTTTACAGTTCTCCCCAGCTATTGTAAACTCAAGGCTCTGGCTTCTTTATAGAATCGGTACATCTCATAGTTGATATTCCTCTTCTTCTGCCTTCAACTTTTCCCTGCATGATGGACTTCTTCAGTGAGCCTTGCCTTCTCATGATGTGCCTGAAGTACAACTACCTCAGTTTCTTAACCTTTGCTTGCCCTGGCTTGATTTGATTTAGGATCCACATGTTTTTATTTCTCCTGGCCCAAGGTATTTGCAATGCTCTCCACCAGTACCATGTTTCAAACCAACAAGATTTATTTCTGTCAGTTTTCTTCACTGTCCAACTTTCGCACCCATAGATTATAACTGGGAATACAGTGGTGTGAATGTAGGCCTTGGTCTACAGTGAAACATCCTTAGGTTTTATACCTTTTTGAGTTTGTTCATTGCTGCCCTTCTAAGTCTCAGTCTCCTTCAAATTTCTTGACTGCATTCTCCCTTTGAATTGCTGACTGAGCCAAGGTATACAAAATCTTTCATGATACCAGTTTTTGCATTGTGACAGTTAGCTTCTATAATTTTTCTGTAGTCATGATTTTTGTGTTCTTAATGTTCAGCTGCAGTTCTTCTTTTGCCCTTTCTTCTTTCTTCTGCGTATCTTAAATTATTGAAGTGTCTTCTACCAGTTTTTACTTCTTCCTCTGATCCTAATCCAGCTCTCCTTCTGATATGCTCTGCATACAGATTGAACAAATAAAGATAAAATAAAATGAATAAAAATAAAATACACCCTTATCTGATGCCCTTGCCTGTAGACAACTATTCTGTTTTTCCATGTTCTGTCCTAACAGTAGCTTCTTGTCCACTATGAAGGTTACATATCAGGACAATCAAGTGCTGAGGATTATCCATAGCTTCTCATGATCCACACAGTCAACGCATTTACTTAGTCTATAAAGGATAGATTGATCTTCTGAAATTCTTTGGTGCACTCTAGAAATTCTTATTGTAAACTTTATTATGCACATTGTTTAAATTTAAGAAATAATAAAGGTTCTGAAAACTGTTGCTACACTACTTCATTTTAGCATCCTGAAGAAATGTGCATGAAATGCTGACAATCACTCATTTATTTCAGCAGAATTCACTTCCACAGAGGCTGTTGGAGCAGCTTCAGTCACTGCTCAGTGGTTCAGTTTCACACTGAGACATATTTATATTTCAGTGATTTATGTCTGTTCCGTCACATACTCACTAGTTACAGTCACCTGAAAAACATTAATTATAACTTTCAGACTTTCAAGCTTGTTTAGTAGTGTATTTGCAATTGGCTTCTTGTTTCTAATGAACTTGCTGAAATGGGAGATTTTCTGCAGAAAACACTGGAAGAAGATTGTTGCCATATCACTGGTTTAAATACTGCTATTACTTATTTTATATTGAAAAATGGGGTAGAATTAAACATTATTTGCCTATTGTAGCTGCTCCAATAAAATAAGAACCTCTTGCTGCTACTTTAAGTAAATATGAAAATAGTTGGAAGGAAAAATCATGAATGTCCTGCATATTGTATAATGTGGTCCCAAGGCTCATATACACCACTTGTGATTCCCAATGTTATTTGTTACTATTTTCTTTGAACAGCAGGACTCTCATACCATATCATCAACTCTGAGAAGCTCTCCTTCCCTCAGTTTCAAAAATAGTTTGCAGTGCTGCAGGAACTGTGTGGAAAGGAGAACTACTGTTTCAGAAAATTGAGTCTACATTCCCTTTAACCTAGCAAACTAATTTTGCATTTCTTTGGGTCATATGGAGTGGTTGATTAAGCCAGAGCCTTAAACAGATTATTTTATCAGTGCACATTACAACTCAGTTCACGTGATCAAAGAACCTGTGACTGACAAACCATGGGTAGTTTGTGAACATGTGGAAGCAGGTGAACTTGCTGGTTCTTGCCTGATAAACAGTGTTAAACAACCCAGAACTGTGTTAAACAACTCAGAGCAAGCCCTTCCATGCAAATGGGGTCATGATGTTATTATCCACAAATGCATATAACAGTGACCTCATGTAGACCAATCAGGAACATGCCTTCTGAGTGGGATGGTGTAAATTGGTGTCCTGCAACAGCAGGAAGTTGGACCCGATGGTCTTTATGGCCCCTGCCAACTCTACTATTCTATGATTCTGTGTCAGATGACCTTTGTGACAGAACAGGTTGAGAACGGAGGACTCTGTCTGAAGTCTGTACCTTTTGGACAAACTAATTGATTACCTTACCTTGCCTTTCGCAAAGTCTTTGTTATTTCTCCAGCTACTGAACTGTATATTTTTAGTAATTCAGTCAAGAATACAAAAACATCCAAATCTAGAACTAATTATGTATGTGTTTATAAAAGTTAAACAGGTAAGAGTTCTGAAGAGGGAGTCAAAGAAATCAGAAGTGTCTAAAATACCATCATTAATAAATGTGGATCAGAACCGTGAAAAACAAGAGGTAAAGTAAAATTCTTTGCTGGTATAAAATCATGGATGGTGTAATCCAAGAGTGAGTTGTGTACTTAACGCTGCTAAAATTAATGGGTTTAAATAAGCCTAACTCAGTTGAATTGTGGTAATAGATTTCCGCTATGCAAATGTGACAGCAAACATTCTTGGACCTGGCTAAAAAATAGGATTGCAGAACAATCTAACCTGCTGGGATGGCCATCTTGGACAGAGGTCCATCTCTGACAACAAAAAGCAGCTCTGCCAGCAGGGGAGGAGTTCACTCTGCAGGACCCATTTATTCCGCCAGAAACCTGGTTATAAATCTACTGTTGGCATTCTTGTTGAGGTAGACCCTAAAACAGGGAATGGCAGTGGCCATCCATAGGTCAGTAGCAGAGTATATCCTTTGCCTGCAGAATATCCTTGCTTTAGTCCCCGGTATCTCTAGGTAAGGCTAGGAGAGAATCCCACTTAAATTTTGGGAGAACCGTCAGTGTCAGCATTACTATACAGATAGATCAGTGGTCTGATCTAGTGATCTGGATGGCATAATCACAGAGCTCACCATTGCTTGTTTAAACTCCAGTGTCTTTTTCAATGTTCAAGCCATGGGTACAACCTATCATGTCATCCAGACCCAAGTGTTGGGTTGTGAGAGATTGAAACCAAACCACAAGTGATCGTAGAACAGGCCATGAGTTATACAAAGTTTAAACAACTTGTGCTGCCCAGGTTTGAATGGCATGACAAGCCATAGCCTCAGCTTGAACAGTCCTAATGGCCACTGGCGAAGTTGCAGCCTACCATTGCTTAAATAAGCCATAAAGACTTAATTGATTGTGTGAATCAACCCAATATAAGGCAGCTTCCTGTGGATCAGTGGGCTTGGGATCCATTGAAACCCAAAGACTCCCCATTTTCCTGAGTTGGGCCTGGATTGGGTCCCTCAGCTAACCCAATCTCAAACTGGTATATTCTTTCCTCTCCCATCTTGATTTTAAGTTGTTTTTCTTTTTAGCAAGGCAGTTCCCTTTCTACACCTCTTTCTTTGGCCAGCATGAGCTAGCAGGTCCCACTGTTTCACCCCACCCCCGCTTCTGTTGAAACGTAAAGATTACATGTAATACTGGCACTTTTTTGTCAGTCATTTCAAAACATAATAGATTATTACATTCAGTACGAAACAGGTAGCCTTTCCTAGCCTTCTGTGATAAAGCTACTAAAAGCTTTCAGAAAGTCTGTATAGTAAAACAATGGTGCTATCCTGTAAGGCTGCCAATAACCCTTTGAACTTGGAAGGTTATGCACATCCTTCCGCGGGTGGGGGGAGCACCTAACCTAGGACTGCCTCTGCACTTCCCCCTTCCTCCAAAGTATTTGCATTGCTGATTTTGGCTATCTAAATGTTTTCCCCTTCCTCACAAGAAGAGGCTTGAGGCAGCACCTGGATTTGCCACAGAATGGCAGTGCCTCCCTCTTCCCCTCTGGAATGTTGCCTCTCATTCCTGCCAGGGCCAGAATAAAAAGAATCATACCAACTGCAAAGGCAGATGGAGACAGGTCTCTTCTGCAACCTCAAAGGGCCTTTCCAAGGTCACAGTGGGAATTCTACCTTTTCGAGTATCTACTCCCATAGGATTATATCCTAAGAGTATTTTTGGAGGAGGATAATTTTAATTTAATGAACAAGTGAACCAATGATAGGATTTTCTGTCAACTAACTTTATTTTTCAATGTAATATTTAGAACTCAGGAAATACAGGAAACATGCAAAATGAATGAAAACAGGTCAAGGGTGCCCGTGTAACAGCATGCATCTTGGGAAGTTCTAGAATGTCTGGACTAAGACATTTGTTTTTCAGTTAACATTTCTTCTTTAAAATTCCATTGATAACTCTGCATACCTTGTGTAGATCCTCTAATAAAGTATTTTGAAATGTGATGGTCACAAAACTATTCATTTTACATTCTATTTTATAGTATGGTTAAGGCACGTGCAGAGCAGTTCTGTACTCTTAATTACTCAAGGTAGGAGAAAGAAATACAGTTTTTAGACTATCAGTATGGCCAAACGTGTACCCAACGTGTGCTTAGCTGGGGAGGTGAAAAACACGCAAATAGAAAATACAAAAAGAAGCAGACATATCTTGCAGTGTACCTAGAACACATGGGCAAAGCCCACCCATGCTAGGAACACCCTCCCACACACATGCACACTCTCACAGAACTAATGAATTCATGACATTGGGGAAATGCCCCAGCAGAATCCCTACTTCACCACATACAACATGGGAAATGATGCCAGTGTTCCAGGTTCATCAGCACAGCCAACAATGTTCATATCAAGATTAGCTTTGCATTCTTCCTTCAAGTGGGAAGAGTCCAAAGAATTCACTAGTGCCAGTAAGGTAACCTGAGAAAACTGTAATATCAACTGCAAGGATTTTAGCTTATGGAATAGCTCTAGCTTACGGAATAACTTTAGCTCTCCTAGAGAAAATGTTGGCAGGGAGAAAACTAGTGGAACATTCCTCCAAGCAATGCAAATGTATTGGTTCCTTGAGGGAAATGTTGGTCCCTGGAGAAGACAACTTTAATAGTAAGTTCCTCACTTCCCTAGCTTCTAAGGTCTTATTCTTTAGCCAGTTTTCCATCACTGATTATTCACAGTTGCAAAATGCAGATTTTACTTTTTTGGCTTGGCTTTCTGATGCTTGATCTGGTTAGTAGAATACACACCAGCTGCTTCTTTTCTGAAAAACCAAACCAAACCAACCAACCAACCAAAAAATAGAGCTGCTTTGAAAGGTGCTGTGCAGGCGTACTTCCTGCATCCTCTTTCTCCCACCCCTGCTAAAAACATAACTTCTAGCATTCACTACCATTGTTGAAATGGGGTAGAATCCATGAATAAATTTAATATAAAATATGATAATCTATACAAATCTATAGTGAACTAACACCACCGTAGTGAACTACTAAAGAAACTGTTAGAAGCATTTTCATAGATAAATCAGATTGTGTTTTGTGTTTTTGGAAAGCAAAGGGCCGTACCTCCAACTTTGTCAAATCAAAGTTTTCAAACCAATGGCTAGGATACATCTTATTTAAAGGAAGCAAGTAAAAGCATAGCAATAATCTTAATAATAAAAGTAAGCCAGTATGTCAATTGGACATCAATTACATGGATTAATCTATTTAATGGCGCTTTTATTGTAACCTACAGCACTGATTTATTTAAATATATTATATATGCTAATGAAACATGAACAAGAGCACTTGATATTAAGAATAAAATAGATGAGAAGACTAAGCTAATGTTTTATAGTTAATATGTTAAGAATTAAAATCTTAATCAGAGTGACAGTATTTCAGTACTGATGAAACAAAACAGATGTTTGAAAAACAGAATAAAATGGATGCTCTTACCTTTGAAAGTGCCTCACTGCCTTTCCCCAAGGTCCCATCCACAGCTACAGCAATATGACAAAGTGGAGTTCTGAGGTGATAGAATGCATTACTTCACACAGAATACCAGAGCAAGGGAGCAGGATGGGTGTTCCCTTGCTCCCATTACATGTTGAACTGTTTTAACTGTTGGGGAGTATTCAAAGAACACCATCCCCCATCTGAAATGGTGTGGTCCTCCCTACCATTTCAGGATTCTACCTCTTCATGTGTAGATTAGGCCTAAATGGACACTGAAAGAAGGTAGTTTAACTGGGGCCAGTTCTGCAGATAACAGTGATGGAAAGCAAATGATCAGCAGCCCAGTCCAGCCCTTCTAGTGGAATAGTCACCTCAGGCTGCTGATATGGGGCAAAATGAAATGGCAGCAGATCATTTTTTAATTTGGGGGCTGTGTTTTTGTCTCTAGGAAGAGGAGAGAGGTGCTCGTGGGGTTTTCTGCTCTAAGTAACAAAATAACTTGGCCAACCTTGGTGTTAGGTGTTTGGTCCTTTGGCTAGTTCCTTTCCTTAGCTTTGGAATAGCTCTGTAAAAAATGCTTTATATATGATAAAGAAAGCTGGGACAGAAGATATGACTGGCAAAGCACCAGGGTGTTGCCACCCCATACTCTTTATTTTAAATTTTCATTACTCTTTAATATTCACCAAGATGATATAATCAAGAGAGCTTTGGAATTCCATTCAGTTCTGTACATCAGTGGGATTTCCATCAATTTTTTACTCCCTTGATATTTGGAGAGAACATATGTTCTTATACTGTTAGATGTTTGGAAACCGTTATGCCAAACCAAGTGGGAGGAATAGTGTGAGCTGAATTATTTCTTTTAAACAACCTGCTTATTAAGGAGTACCAGGAACGATAAAGCACATTCCAGCTCAAACTGCCCTAGTTTTTCTTCTTCTTATTGATGAACGTATCTCAAATGCTCTGCTAAATGGCTTTTATTTTATTTTTCAGGAGGTCAGAGAAGCTTACTGAAATTTGTTAATCCAACACAGTGAATGAATGCAGTTGCTTTTCTTTATGATTTTCCATTAGTTATATTTTGGATGTGCCCCCCTTTCCTAAACTGTTGGTAGAAAACAATAAACAGGAGGTAGCACTCCCTCATACTGTCAATATAACTTGCAGTTGTTTCAAACTCTTCAGTGCATTAAATAACTCTCTCTTAGCCAGCTATATGTATATGTATATATCTGTGTGTGCATGCTTTGGTTCTGTCCTGCATGTATCATGGACAAAAAGCTGAATTTCACTGGCTGCTCATATGCAAAGTGCTGAACAAGAATCAGGAACCTTTTACAGGAGTGGGAAACTATCATTTCCATTATTAGTGCTGCTAATGTGCATGACAGTAGGAAAATAAAGTGTACAAAGAAAGAATTGTCTCACTGCAACAGCTGAGGGTAGCCCCTCCAGGTAATGAAGTTCAGCATTGTTCCACCCAAGCAGCACAAATATTCTTTCCTGTAGATGGAATTTAATTTGCTTTGGAGTAAGATGGATTTATGGTTTGACTTGAAGATGCAATGTTGGAATATGTACTGAGTATAAAATCAACTGAAGCCAAATTGAAAAGAACAGCCTAAAGACTGGAAGGAGCATTGTTTACTCTGTGGAAGACTGAAATCCTGTCATTAGCACTGTACTTTTTGGCATCAACTCTGGCTAGGCTCCCTGCTGCCATCTAGAGAAGTTTGTGGAGCAGAGACTTGGCTTTGAAGCCCCATACACAAATGGCACTGGGAACCCTCCAAAGTTATCCTGTCACTTAGGCAAAACGACATAGGGAAATGAAGTCTTGGTTTGTCAGAACATTAATGAAGATTGAGGTTGTACCCCTTAGTTGTATAATTAATGTTACTTGCTCCAAGGCCAGATAGTGGGTTTTGTTCTTCAGAGAGGGCCTTGGATTCCAGAATTTCTGGAGATCTAGAAGAGCAACTTCCAGACGTTCACTCCTGAGGTAATCTCAATGTCAAAGTTCTTATCTGAGGCCTGTGTAATCAAAAAAGGGTGCGTTTGCTTTCAGTGTAGCATACACAGAAGAAAAAAGACATACAAATAAATAGGTAATTTCCCACATATAGATTGTCATTATGAGTTAAACAACTCATGGATTGTTAGGGACAAGGGAAGAGAGTTGTTCACAACTCAGCAATAAAGCATGGGTTGATTACTGTGTTGATTAACCCTAAATAGCCCACCACTCTCTGTTTGTTAGCTCAGCAATCTATGACTCAGCTGATTGTAGGTCCTTGCCCACTTTCTCCTTCCTGTGCCCTTACGGGCTGTTGTTACATGCAAACCAGGTCTAAATATAGCAGATGATCAAACATAGTGACAACCATGCATGCAAGTGTATCATTTGGTGTCTTTTTGTTGACGCTTGATTCTTAGAAATGATGCAGAAAGATAACTAGAGCAAAGTCCATTCAGTTCCATTGGCTTGGCTTGTGATTTTGCTGTAAGTAAGCCTTGAAAACAAAAGTTGCTATTATAAAGTAGCAGGAGGCTTCAGAAAGAAGATCTGGGCTTGCAGATATTAATTATAAAAATAGCAAGAATTTCTCAATTCCATGTGAATACTTTGGTATTGCATAAAATACAGTATACAGCAAGATTTACTGGATGCAGACAGCATACAATAACCATACATTTACAGCTTACATTCTTTAAAAAAGGTTAGATTTTAAAAAGAAAAATACTGTTTTTGTTTTAGCCAGAAGAGTAAGAGGTTGGGCCTCTTTCTTTTTTATATCCACTAAATGTAAAAACTTGGACAAAAAGAAATTATGCCTGAAACACAACTATCCAGTTATGATTCATAAAATGCAAGGCCCCCTTGAGTCACCAGCATGCATCTGCTAATTAACACCGAACATTTTTTCTGTTGCAGTTTAAAAAGCCTCTGATGTCACATGAGAAATTTCAGTTCAGAACAATGTGGTCATTCTTCATATGAATTCCTATGGGAATCTGTCAGAAACTAAATGTTACTAAAACGTAACTAAATTATTAGCTCATTATGATCCTGAGTGTCAAAAGAGCAAGGTAAGAGCACTGTTCAGCAAAAGAACTGGAATTATCAATGTTCTAAATCTAGGAATTTGGACCAAGTTATGCACTTTGGGCTACAGGCATCACATTTACTATGGACATAGAGTAATGATTCACAAACATTTTCTGGTGGGGATTCCGTCTCACTTCTTTTCACCAACAAATAACATACTCTGCATGAAGAGAATGTTTCCAATTTGATTATGCACTCTGAACAGAATTGGATGGATTGAACACACATCAGCAAAAATACCAAATGAATTCTGCATGCTCACAATATATGGAATCCTAGAACAACTCCTTAAATACATATTCATGCAGCTGGTTCATTGATACTTTTTTGGTGACCATGAGCCAGAATGGGGACAATATGGTTGCTGGGACAATATGAATGAACTTGACATCTTTGGCACAATGGCCTGTGTGGTATAGGGCTCAGTATGCAGGGCAGGATGAATGAAAGGTTGGAGGCTGGCAGCTCTCCGTGGGTCAGTACTAGACTCTGTGGATGGCTAAAGGGAACCAGCTGTATAATCCAGGGGTCACATCCCTCCAACTGAGCTATTGCCTTCATGTCACAGAAGGGCAAGAGTGCCTAAACTATTTCAGCCCAGTGCAGCTTGTCCTTTTCACTTTTCAAGGGTGCAAGAGCAACCCTGTAGTGACATCTGTGTGGAAAACCAGGGGAACAGATTATCTTGCTTGGTGCTCCAGAGGTACTTCTGGGCCTCTGGGCTTATCCAGTGACCTTTGAACATGCCTACTTCAGCCTTGCTCCAGTAAGGTTCCTGCATTAGTGTGGGGTAAACTATGCAAACCAACAGGTTACACATAGCCATGCCAGACACATACGCCTTTGTGTTATTTCTTTTATCATATATTAGAGCACAAGATACTTCATTTTGAAGCAATTTTAAACTTTCTTAAACTTTCTGACTTGGTTGGCATATGGCTGAAATTGCATTGTGATTTAATAGATGATAAAATGAGTTGTTTTTAATGTGTTCTGGCTTTTCCCACATGAAGTCATAGGATAGAACAGATTGTTGTTAAAAATGGAAAGCATTTTTGTGAAGTCAAAGGAGCTGCACCCATTTCTGCCAGAGGTCAGGATGACTCGTACGAATCCATTACCACACTCTTGTTTCTATAAAACATAGTAGTAATTACACAGATTAAATGAAAGGAAAATATAATTATATATTAACATATGTTTGACTCTCTAAAGGTGCAACTCTCAGGTATAGCTATTTTGCTTCCTATTATGATAGCATTTTTTATAAAAAAAAATATATCCCACACTATGAACAGTTACTG